TTCTATAGAATTTGGATTCAGTCAAAAGGCTGCACTTAAGGACCTAGAAGGCCACAGGTTCCCCACGCCTGTTACAAGGGAAGAGGTCCCAAAGAATTGCAAATTCTTGTTTCAAAAATCCAATGTATCAGTGAGGATCCCAACAAGAGTAAGAGAGACACCCAGACTGGGATAAAGGAACTAACTTCAAAGGTCTGGCTGGGGTACGGGGAAACCACAAGAGGTCACGATAACAGGACTGTTACGAATCAAGCCTAAGAGGGAAGAAGGGAGTGGAAACCGGAACCCAGAAGGAGAGAGCCCTGTAGGAGTGACCACCTCGACAGGAGTGGTGACTCTCGGTTGAGGGACACAACTATCCCAAGGTTAACCTCCTGCAGTGAAAGGAATAAATACTCTGCCCCCTCCTCCCCCTGCCCTCTGATGTGTGGCCAGAAGCCAAGAACAAGGGAACGCGCTGGTGTAGCCCATGTGGGCGGCCTCCTGGAGGGCTGCGCAGGAAAGCAAGTCTGCAGAGGCAGAGGCAGAGGGGGGAAATCTGTCGCCTCCTCTGTGCAGCCCCATCCCCGTTAGCACTTAGCACACTGCGCTTGGACGTGTGCCTTCTGTCTGTCTCCACCCAACTCCACGCCCCGGGCTCCCAGTGTGCAGGTAACGTCTCTGGCATTGGTACCTGACGCAGAGTGGGTGTCAACTTAGATATGATGTCTTAAGGACTGTCTCTGACAAAGGGGCCATCGAAGTTCAGGCTCACAGGCCCCATCTCTTCTCTCTTTCTGTCCAGGCCCTCACCACCACCTGTGTGCACTACTTCTTCGGTTTTCTAACTGGTCCCCCTCTCTTCACGCTCTGTCCCCTCCAGGACACCCTAGACATGGTACATTAATACTTCTGAGCACAAAGTCCGAGCTTGGCATACATGAATCTCCGTAAGCTGACAGATCTACGACTTTCTGCAAGTTTCCTGGGCTAGATTATCCAAGATAGTTCCGTTCCAATATTTCGTCTTGTTTTTTAGACCATGTTTCTTGATTTCCTCAACTCTAAGCCAGCAGCGTCAAGAGGCACGAAATTAGTGGCAGATTTGGGTCATGAACCTTTGTAGCTCTCGTGAACCTTTGTACTTCTCGGGAATATTGCACACAGTAGGCACTCAGAGTAAATGACTGAATGCTCAAGTGACTGGGGAAGAGGAGATTAGAGGAAGATCACTAAGCACAGGCCAGTGGACACGTCACAGACCATGATCTACTAAATCAAAAAATATTTAGCATGCATCTACCAGGACCTTCTCCTTAATGCAAAGAAATATAGGACCTGTCCTTCGAGATTTTGTAGTTCACGTAGAGACAAAGGACATGAGCACAAGTAACTGTAAATACCACTCCTTAGTGTCTAAAATGAGAATAAACCCAGGTGGGTGGAAGAATCTTTGAGATTACATGACACAATCTGCTCATTTCCAAGGTGAAGAAATGACAT